TCCGTTTTACACGCCCCTGCCGGTGACCGGTTCGAGCTGGCTCGGGCCACCCTGACACCTTTCCACTGGCAACGACGGAGACCGGGACAGTGCGGGGTGGGAGGTGGGGACCAGACGCCCCGGGGAACAATGGGCAGGGGAGGGGATCCTCGCCGAGGCCCTACCCAGCTCTGGACGTCGCTATCCCTTTTCCTTCCACCCCAGCCTCGGCGCTCTCTCCCTGGGGTCAGAGCACGGGAGCCGGTCTGTACCTGTCGGGGGACAGGCTTTGTTTCCGCTCAGAGGGAAACAAGCGCTCACGGAATGTACCTGACGCCTTTCTCTCGGAAAACGGGAAGGTGGACTCCTGCAGACCCTGTCCGCCCAAGTTCCCTCGGACTAGGACTGGCAGCGCAGGTTGCGCCCAGGGCTGCCCGGCACTTTACAAGGCCACCAGGCGCTTTCCGCACCTACTCTCCTGACACCTCAAGTCATGTATTTCGGGTCCAAGGACAGGCCACGGTAGGGCGACAGAAGGTGATGAGATGTGGGCACCCCCAGAAGCCCGGGGAGGGGCGGGGGAGGGACCTTTACCGGCGCACGCCGGTTCCAAGCCTCGCCCCCACGGGCGCGCCCCACTCTCCCCACCGCCCGCGCCCAATCCAATCAGGGGCTGGCATCGCCTTAGCAACAGGCTAACAAACTCGGCTCCGCCTATCGCTGGCCGCGCGGGGCGGGGCCTCGGTGACCAGGCTCGTGTGAGAGGTCCCAGTTCTAAGTCATTGAAAGTATTGCAGGCGAAGAGCTCGTCTGCACTTTGCAGAGGCTCAGGGGTGCTTCGTGGGGTTGAAAGGCGCATAGTTTATTTTACCACGAAATCAGGGAGCAGCTAGTAAATTGTGTTTGTCCCCCACACGTCGTTACTCTACAGTCTCAACTCTACGAGAACCTTTGTCTCTTCCCACCATTTCACAAAAAGCTGCAATATCCAGAAAGGCTCAAACAAACTCCTGTCTATGCTTTCCAACAAACACGACGACTGTCATTAGGCATTAGCGCTTCTCATCAGCGTTACTGCTTGGAGAGATGAACCAGAAATAATGTCAGGATGCAAATTCCCTCTGTGCAACTGAAAACCTACCTCAGGAACTGACTTCATCTTAATATTTTTAAGAACAGCGCATGAATGCTGTGGCTGGAAGCATCCTTTATTTCTACACTTGCTTTAGTTCAGCTAGCACTTCCTCAGGCATGTGCATATTTAATACTGAAAATGAAGGTAAAAAATGTGCTTTACTTTTCGAAAATAGCCCATATTGGAACTAAACATCGCATTAAAAAGGAGAAGTACAAAATTACATAACCAGTTCTAACACTATATTCTTCTCGGTCTAGGAATTAAGTCATCGCCACCACCTGACGCGTGCAGCCAATCTGCTGAGAGCTGCACAAGCGCCCCTCCTCGCCACCCCCCAGAACTGGTCCGAAACAGGATTGAACCGCTTCTAACAAAGGGTGGAAACTTAGAAAAACAAGCTCAGAGTCTCCTATAATTCCACAATGTAACGATTTAAACAACAGATGGGAAACCTCGGGCCCCTTCAATGTCTGACAACCCTTCCTCTCCCGCGTCTCACCAAAAATCAAAACCAAGGTGCCGAATACTTTTCAATTTCATGTGCCTGGCATGGGTTTCATTGAAGGCACGTTTCAAAGTTAGGCATGATGCTCAGAAAGGAACATTTCCCCGAATGGCTTCTGCGCCTGATTCGAAACCCATCACAATCATAGGTGAAGTCCTTTAGAATAGAGAATGAATGATACACATTTCTAGTCGAACTGCAAAGACCGGGGGCGGGGGGGACCCCAAACACGTGGGGTGTTCATACCATATGTCAAAATAAGCCACAGAAACCCTTGACCAAAGAACAACGGTCAATGCTTGCAAGTCTTTTGCTTGTCAATATTAAAAAATGAAATGCACCTCTTAACCCGCTTAACGATGTTATCCCATTTCTCGATGGAAGCTTCGGTTTTGAGACGTTAAGGTTGCAGAGCACAAGGGAAGACATCGAGCACTGGACTGCAGCCTTTCGGCATCCAGTGAAAGACCTGCTAGTGGAGTGACGGGGTCGGGTCTGAGCAGAATCTACGTGAAGGTGCAAATGGGCGGCGGGCGCGAGGGCACCGGCCGGCCGGGCGGGCGGCGAGCGGGCGCAGTTCGCAGCCCCTGCAGATGCCCGCACGCTCCGCGGCTCCACACTCGGTGCACGGTCACGGAGAAGCCCGTCTGCAACTCCGCTCAGCTCTTACCGAGCTGCTATGGGTCATGCTAGGAGTAGAATTATATCAATTCAGAAAAATCAAAAGCTACAATCCCAAAGAAATTAGCGTTAATGATTTCCGAATAACATAAAAAAAAAGCTTACCTCTTTCGTGTCCAATTAAGATGTCTTTATGGTTGAAATATTCTACTTCTTCAGTGTAATTCTGTGTATAGGCAGTATTGGAGCCGGCGTTTCTAGATTCGGTCCAGCGTACTTTCGCATGTCCTCTCGCATGAATTTTAAGAGATTTCACTCTGATTTCCCCCGTAACTTCTAAATTCACCCTTCCTGAGACGGTATCCCCACTGGAATACACGGGGACGTTGCTGTCATGAAGACAGTCAAAGCTTATGGTCAAACTCTTCACCTTTCCCAGCACCATGTTTATAACAAAAATCTATAAAAATATAATGTCAGACCAAAAAAAAAAAGTCAAGATCGCATATAAAATGTGATCTCCACGCAACACGGGTCGCTGTCTTGGCCGTGGGAAGAGCTCACCGGCACGACCAGCGACTCCTCACAAGTAGTTCATTGAGGTTCTTAAAAAGTCAGGGCAGCAGCGAGGCTCCCGCTCCGCGCTCGCGCTCGGCCCAGTGGTCTCCGTACAAAGACGGGCGGCTGGCGGCGGCCGGCTCACTTTAAGAGCAGCTTTGTGAAAAACAACCCCGGTGCGCATGCGCGCCCGTCCCTGCGCGCCCCCTCCCGCGCCGGGCTCGCTCCCTCGCTCGCGGGTACAGTAGGTGTGCGCGGGGGGAGGACGGCCCCGGGACTGCCGGGAGGCTGACCCTGACTCCTCTGCATTGCGCGCTCCGATTGGTAGGCAGGCTACGGTAAACCCTCGCCGACGGGCCGTCGGCAGCCCCTTTGGCGAGCGCTCTATTTAAAGATAACGGCAGAGGGGGCCACCGGGGGACAAGGGTTGGATGGGGAGCTGTTTGCAAAGCCAAGTAAGGATACGCTGCCGCGTGTCCAGCCCAAAGCGTGCGTTCTGGGCACGGCAGGGGTTTGACCGCTGTGCCTGGCTGGGAAGAGGAGGAAAGTGATGAGTGGAGAGAGATGGGGGGCAGGGGAGGCACCGGTTGGGCAAGCGGCTGGTTGCTGAGCAGACTCGCACGAATTTCAAAAGGAACCGTAATAAAAGCAGACAAGAAATAATGTTCTCCGACGAGAGCCTGTTTGGCTCGGATATTTTTTGTTGGTTTGAAAAAAAAACAGAAACAAAACCAGTGCTTGGCAGCCAGGGTGGACATGAGCTCGTTTGAGGCCAAAGGAATCTTAAAGAGGATACTATAAAGAGCCCGGAAGACAGGCAGGCATAATTTAATCAGTAGGTTTTGCTTTCTCTTCAGCTGCTTTCTTTCCCATCTCGTAATTAGATAGCAACGAAAAACAACCAAGTGGTTTGCATGATGACACTAGGGGGAAGAAAGGCTTGACCACTTCCTCGAAGGAAGAAAAAGTCCTTTTTTGAGACACCACCTACAGCTAAATTTGCAGGGTATGACATGATTATAACTCCTGTGCCCGGAGGGTTAAGAATAGAGTTCGGCCTAAAAAAGGACCACCTTTCCAAAGGCAGCATGACACAGTGTTTTATCTGGCATCATGTTTACAACAAGATCGGAAAATCTTGGTTAGAAATTAGTGAAGCACATAACATGTTTTTTAAAAAGCATGATTTGGTTTATACATAGGGTTCAATTCTGCAAAGCTGTCATTTTAATTTTCAGTCTTGGACTGTTCAAAATAATAATTCTAATACACCTTAAAAGCAGGTACATTTGTCTCTTTATTGTGAAAGTTTTGGTAACATGGTATTGCTTTCATAAAATCACACTGAGATTCGAAGTATAACAGCATAAACTTACCTCTGGACTTTTGCAATCAACAGACCTGCTTAGTAGAGAAATATAGAAAGAAAAAATATGAATCTGGAGATTATATATATATATATATATCTCCAAGTATACTTGAGAAGTTTTGGTTGTCCGTGTCTAAAACTTCTTAGATTCCTCTGTGTCATATATTTGGATAGGTTGAACCTATCAGTTACAATAAACTAAACTCATTGGGCTTTCTCTTTTTCTTTTTTGGAAGAAATGAAATTTTATTTAGTTGGATTTTAGTTGACAAGGCAATATCTTGGACTCAACGGCATTATATGAGGATATAAATATGCAAAATATTTGGATAGTTAATGGGCAGGCCATCTATTTTTGATAGTTATGCATAAAACTATGAATTTGTGTATTTGAGTGGAGAAAATAGTCTCTCTTTTTTCTCTCTTGGTTGACACCTGGTGGAAATTCTAGTTCAAGTACTTGGGATTTTGTACTAGCTTTGGTAACAGATACTACTTGGGTTTTTTCGCCACCTAGTGGTAAAAGTAGTGAGCTTGCTAAAATGTCAGCTTCTCAACCGTAAGGTCTACTGTAACATATATTAAGCATTCAAATGACATTAGGCAAGGGATGAATTTAAAAGTGTAGTGCACAATAAGGTCTTCATTACTAAATTTGTTTTAAATTATTAAGTATTACTGAATTCTTCAGAATTTTTAGTAAAATTTCTTCAGTTGAAATATAACATTTCTGAAAAAATAAGAATCAGCTGTTTAATTAAACTAGAATTGCATTTAAACAAAAAGAATCCTAAGAGATTTACTTGTAGTTTGGAAAATTATTTTATCACATTAAATGACTCATTCCTGTCACTGTCTTATCTCATTTTGGTTTTTTTTTGAAGCTTCTAGGATATAATAAAGCATTGTCTTTGTTATTTATTTTGCTGTTTTCTGTTTATTGTATTTTTACTGTCTTTCTAAACACTTTGGTAATTGACAAGTTGCCAAGAAATTTGTATCCCCTATCATTTTCACTTAAGATCCTATTCACCTTAATTATTGCCTTTCTTCTCTTTGGATTTGGTTATGCAACTCAACTTTCTTTCTTAGGTGCCTAAACTTGAATTTACTTCATCTTGTTTCCCTCCTATTTATTCAAATTATGAAAAGACAAACAACTCTGGTGCCTCTAAATTCTTGTTTATATTTTTATTTCTAAAAGGAAAACATGACTAGATTTTGAATGTTTCTCTTGTAACTTTGATAACCGCCTCTTTATAGGTTCCTTGTATAATATCTATCCTTTAGACAGCTTCAAATGCTGTACTGTAGCTGTTAGTTATCTTGGGCTCTGGACTTGCTTCACTGGGCTCTTACTGTATTTTGTATTAAATTTAAGCTACTCAACTTTACCACCAGGGATCGTTCCTACGGCACCCCAGCCTACACCTCATATGCCACCTCCTCCTCCTCAACTGCTAGCTCTCTACTACCATCAGGTACATCTTCTGTCCCCTTTGTTAGCTTGCCTCGCTGTTGCCAATGTGCAGTTCCGTGCTGCTTTCTGTGTCCAGAACAACATTCCACTGCCGTGTCATCTCCTTTCCCTTCGAACCCCTCCACCAGGTTAGTTGGCACAACTTAATACAATTCCATCTGCACAGAATAACTAGTCCCCTCCCCTTTCTATAGATTTTTTCAGAGCTTAAATAGAAATCTCTTTTAATGGCATTTGATTCTTGGATTTTTAATTCAGTGTCTGTTCCACTGCCAAGTCTGGAGTTTTTCGCTTATTAGATCAAAATACCCAATTGTCATAGAAAAAAAAAAAAAAGGAAGTTATCTCAACTGAAAGTTTTGGTGTATGGTTATAAGAAAAACTATACCAGCAATCCGAACCTGTTTCTTAAAGAAAACTGTGAAATCCATGCTTAATTTTTATTTGAACTATCACCTGACAGGCTTGAGTGTTATGAAAGTAAGGGAAGTTTATTTTGTTCATTTGTTTTTTAAGTCTTAATTCTGCATTTCATTATTTTTGTAACTCTGACTTAACTCTTTAACATCTTCAGAATGCAACAAGTTTGACTTTGGTGTGGAGACGGGATATAAGATTTGCTATAGTATTAGCAAAATGAGTAAGACTTGTTTTTATATTTGATAGTTAATTATATGGTATGTTTGTTGCATTCTTTATTTAATAGACATTTAGATGTGTTGTGGATTTCATGAGAAAATTTAGAACCAAATTTGGTTTCTGTTCTTCCTCATTAAAAAATAGTGTGATGTGTGTCATGTAAATACCATTTAATCTTTTTATTTATTTATTTATTTTTAAATATACTTTTTATTGATTTGAGAGAGATAGAAACATCAGTGATGAGATAGAATCATTGATTGGCCACATCTTGCATGCCCCACACTGGTGATTGAGACCACAACTTGGGCATGTACCCTGACTAGGAATCAAACTATGACCTCCTGGTTCATAGGTCTACACTCAACAACTGAGCCACACCTTGATTTAAAATGTCTTGCCCAGGTAGCTCAGTTGGTTGGAGTGTCATCCCCTACACCAAAATGTTGTAGGTTTGATTCCTGGTCAGGGTACATGCCTAGGTTGCAGGTTCCATCCTTGGTCGGGGTACATATAGGAGGTAGCTGATCAATGTTTTTTTCTCAGATTGATGTTTCTGTTTCTCTCCTCCCCTTCCTCTCTCTAGGAATCAATAAAAGCATATCCTGGGGTGAGGATTTAAATAAATAAATAATAGATTTAAAGTAAAATTGTTGTAAATGTTTCCCTCCACGTCCCGTGTGGTTCAGGGTTCAGGATCTGGAAGAAGAGCCGCACACAAATGAAAGAGAAAAGACACGAGATAATTTGGGAATATTGGGGGCCAGGTGGGTAAGTCCAACCCAGGAGGAAGGACTTCCACCAGTGCCCAGGCCGCATCAACCTTTTATAGTCAGAGGTAAACAAGGCAGTGGTCACCATAGTTACACAGTTCTTGTGAGTTTCACCTGTTTTGACTGTAGTTACACTTCCTGCACTTCCCTCAGCCCATTAGCCTCCCAGAAAAGATCCAGGGAGTGTTATAAGGCCAAGCCTAATTATGCTAAGAGGACTGTGCCCTCTAAGCTGGTAGTTGTTTGTGACTTTGCCAACAGGTCAGTCTGACTGATTCGGCCCGTTTGAAATGAATAAAACTAAAAAAAAAAGACCATACCCTTTTATGTAATGATGTTTACTTTGAATTTATATTAGTTCACACAAACACTCCATCCATGCTTTTGTTCCAGCCCTCCGGTCCAGTTTAAGAACCCATTGTGGCCCTCGAGTCAAAAAGTTTGCCCACCCCTGATCTAGGCTCAAGTGGCATTGGGCCCACAGGTAGGTTCAGAAATGCTAAATTTCTTTTCTGAAATATTTTATAACTTTTGACCAGGCACAACTTTATGTAACAAGGGTAAATACATTCTAATTATAGTAACTAATATTTTCTTGATGGATATTAAGCTTTATTGGCAAAATATAATTCATAAGAACCAGTTCTCATTTTTTTAAAATATCAAATTCATATTTGGCTAACAAACTTTATATTTGATATCTTACTTGGAGAATGTTGTCCTCCTACTCATCTACATTTTCTCTGTTGATGAAGAGAAAATGATTATAAATGACTTAAAAAACCCAAAACTTGCTACTAGTATTTACTGCTACTACCTTCAGTGGTTAGGCTTACATTCAAAGAGTGGACATGGTGCAGGCATGTCTAGTA